TTTTTTTTTTTTTTTTTTTTAGTTTCTTCTGCTAAGGGTGAAGCGTGAAGAGGGATCAGAGTCGAATAATGAAATGGGAAAGTAATAATGGCGATAATGGTGGGTGCTGTATGTAGCTGTGTCTTATGGGAATGATAAAGTAATTGAATAAGTGAATAATAAATAAATAGAAAAATGGTTGAGAGAAAAAGAGGAGACGTGAGCGTGCTTTACTTTTCCGTTGAAGGCGGTGGAATGCGAACAACGTTGACACTTACGAATAAAAGTCGGCACGGGGCTTTTCACAACGGCGTCGTTTGGAGTGGGTTCATTTCATTGACATTTCTAATTTTCAAAGTTTGTAATTTTGTATTTACGTGATTGTAGATTGATGTCTTATTCATGCCTTTGGGCTTTTGCCCCTTTCTTTGCTTGTCCTCTAAAGCACGAGGGACGGAACCTTCCTCAGGTCCTGTTCCGTTTCTAAATTTACCTCTTCCGTTTGGGAATTTTAAACGTGTTCAGACATAAAACACTTCTAGAAAAACACAAACTGCTAAAATTGAATCGGTGTCATGCCATAAATTATCAACCTCAAAACTAATACTACTACTTTCGTATCAAAGCAATGATGAGTTATATACCGGATAACAGCCGATCCGGGTGAACACAGCCGGTTAGGCCAACCTGACCGAACACCCCAGTGCGGTTGGCCCAATCAGGTCGGCCGTCTCGGCCAGCAGATCCACATACTCGAACACACGGGATTAGGTCAGGTGGGTTAAGATTAATTTACATAATTCGAAGGTTTAAATCCTTAATTTTCTGGGCTCATTTCCTAATCACGGCTCAGCAACAACTAGTATAAATAGATTCCCAATGAGGTGCGTAACTAACTCTAACTACCGCATTTAATACGCCGATCACTTACTTGAACGTCGGAGTGTCTTTGCAAGCACCCCCTTCCTTGGACTACCTAGAGCGGAACGTGAAGATATCGACCGAGAATCAAGATCGTGACAACTTAGCACTAAGGGTTAAACGACCATTGTGGTGCAGTTTTATAAACAATATACCAATTGCTGAAAAAGACTCCTTATGAATTGTCGAAGGGACGAGCACCCAACATATCATATTTTCATCCGTTTGGATGCAAATGTTTTATTCTGAATACCAAAGATAATTTAGGAAAATTTGACTCAAAAATCGACGAAGGAATTCTACTTGGATACTCTGAGAGGTCAAGAGCCTATAGGGTGTTCAACAACAAAACTAAAACTGTTGAGGAGGCCATTCACGTTAGATTTGATGAACACAAGCCTGATAAAGAAATATCAGAGCTAGGCAATTTCTTTGAGAATATGCAGGTGAACAACGATCAGAAAAAAAAACTGAGTCTGAAGAAACAACGACTCAACAAGACGAAAGAGAGAATAGAAAACCAATCAATCATAAATGGAAGATGAAGGCTCATCATCCACAAGAACAAATCATTGGAGAAGCAAAAGATGTTGTAAGAACTAGAAGTTATTTCAGAACTCAAGCACAAATTGCATTGCTATCCAAAACAAAGCCAAGAACCACGGACGAAGCCTTATCAGACGAAAGTTGGGTTCAAGCCATGCAAGAAGAATTGAGTCAATTCTAGAAGAATGATGTCTGAAAACTTGTCCCAATGCCTAAGGACAGAACAGTCATAGGAACAAAATAGGTATACAAAAATAAATTGGATGAATTTGGAAACATGGTAAGAAACAAAGCAAGGTTAGTTGTGAAAGGGTACTCTCAGCAAAAAGGTATAGACTTTACTTAAACTTTTGCACTTGTTGCTCAAATAGAAGCTATTAGAATATTACTTGCTTTTGCTGCATGTACTGAAATGAAATTATATCAGATGGATGTTAAAAGCATATTTTTAAACAGAACAATCTCATAAGAAGTTTATGTATGTCAACCTCCTGGTTTTGAAAATGAATTGCTATCATCTTATGTTTTCAAACTAAACAAAGACTTGTATGGATTAAAACAGGCACCACGTGCATGGTATGAAAAACTAAGCTATTTTCTAACAGAGAATAATTTTACAAGAGGCAAAATAGACAACACCCTGTTTAGAAAAGTAATAAAGGATGATTTCATAATAGTCCAAATCTACGTAGATGACATAATCTTTGGTGCTACTAATGAAAATCTATGCCAAGAGTTTTCCAAGCTTATGCAGGATGAATTTGAAATGAGCATGATGGGAGAACTGAAGTTCTTTTTAGGACTTCAAATCGTCCAGTCAGATGAAGGAGTCAAAATTCATCAAACAAAATATACAAAAGAATTACTGCAGAAGTTTAAAATGGAAGATGCAAAACCAATGAAGACACCAATGCACCCTTCAACTACTCTTGGTTTGGACGAAGAATCACCAGAAGTTGATAGCACAATGTACCGAGGAATGGTTGGTTCTCTCTTGTACCTAACAGCGTCAAGACCCGATATCATGTTCAGCGTCTGCGTCTGTGCTATGTTTCAAGTACGACCTAAGGAGGTACACTTACAAGCGGTTAAAAGAATTTTAAGATATCTTAAAGGAACACCTAACCTAGGCATCAGCTTCTATAGAAGCCAAAATTTTTCTCTTCTAGGATATTGTGATGCAGATTATGCAGGAGACAAATGGGAGAGAAAAAGCAATAGCGGACGATGTCATTTCCTTGGTCGCTGTTTGGTTTCATGGACTAGCAAGAGGCAAAGCACGATTGCCTTATCAACTTGTGAAGCTGAGTATGTTGCCGCAGGACAATATCTTACACAGTTGCTATGGATCAAACATCAATTAGAAGACTATGACATTTACGAAAGTAGTATTTGTGTTTCTTGTGTGATGTAGAGTGTAAATATGTATTTGCTTTCATAATTAGATGAGTTTTGATATGAATTAGAGTGGTCTGTGGTTTCTTGTGGGAAACCCTATGAAGTAAAATTAGGAATATGATCTTTGGATGATTTTGAGGCAATATATGTAAAATTGATGATGGCTTCATGTTTTGGATAATTACTTGGTATGATTTATGTATATGACTATGAGAAGTTTCTTGCAGTCGTTTAGCCTAGCAATAAGCAAGGTGTGTCTCCTAATATAGGAACAAGTTATATACCGGATTGGTCTTGAACAGCCAACACCTCTTGACGTTGCCTTAAATTTCATGTTCATGTAGTATGAACGAAACATTGAAAGAGTACTCTATCAAGGGGTATTCAGCTGAGGGTACTCGACCAATGGATATTTGTGACCGAGGAATATTCGATTAAGAGGTATTTGATTGAGAAATACTTGATTTGATGCATTAATATGATAAAAGAAAATAATATTTGCTCATTACACAACAAAAAGGAATTAAATGTATTTAATTAGTGAAATTCGTAATGGTAACTTTATCTTATCTATTTATATATGTATTTTACCTTCAGAAGATGCGTAATATGTACACAATACACTTAATTACTTCGAGTACTTCCTAATTTTGGCAGTCCCTTTGTAGGTATAAACAACACCTAATACTTAGAGGTCGAGGATCGAGTAGCCAAGGATTGAGGACCTTCAATCAAAGGCTTCTTGCATCTTTCTGGCAGGTACATCTGGTGTCCATTATGGAGCTCGTAGAAAACTTTTTCCTACAAACTATACTAAATTGATACACAATGATTGAAACGCGAGGATCCCCAAGTACGAATTATGGAATGCCTAACAACACTCAATTATTGTTGGCAAAATTACAACAAGAACTACAATAATGAAAAATGCAGTATGAGTAATAATAAAAACAATATGACAATGATTGGAATCACCAAGTACGAATTATGGAATGTCAAACAACACTCAATTGTTGACGGAGTTACAACTGTAACGACCCGCCATAGTCTCTACACTTAGTGGAATCATACATTCACGATTTTATTGACTTAATATTTCACATTTCACATCTCATCATATCCCATGTAGCATTATTTCACAATATCATATCACAGATCATATGTTCACATTTCACATTCTCACATCATGTTCACATAGTCTCATGCAAGAAACTTCTCATAGTCATATACATAAATCATACCAAGTAATTATCCAAAACATGAAGCCATCATCAATTTTACATATATTGCCTCAAAATCATCCAAAGATCATATTCCTAATTTTACTTCATAGGGTTTCCCACAAGAAACCACAGACCACTCTAATTCATATCAAAACTCATCTAATTATGAAAGCAAATACATATTTACACTCTACATCACACAAGAAACACAACAGAATAATCAGAAGGCAAAACAGAAAACATTCATATTTTGCCTGTTTCTCATAGGGTTCTCTCAAGAACTCACAGAGCACTCTAATTCATATCAAAACATATCTATTTTCAAAATCAATCACATATTCATACATCACAGCCAACAAGGAACACAACAAAAGAATCAGAAAGCAAAATAAAAAACATTCATATTTTGCCTGTTCCTAGAAGCATGCATCAGGCAAGGGATTGGGGCCAATCCTACTACCTAACAATTATTTTCACACCCCGAGCGAGGTTTCCCACTCCCCCTTACCTGGATAAGCAGAATGCAAAGCTAGAGCGAAATCTAGTTGATCTCCTTCTCTTGGTTCTCTTTGGTCTCTAGAGAGTGTGTCCAGAAACAGTGCCAAAGTGCTCTATTTATAAATTTCAAGAGTGGCCAGTTATTTCACAATATCATATCACAGATCATATGTTCACATTTCACATTCTCACATCATGTTCACATAGTCTCATGCAAGAAACTTCTCATAGTCATATACATAAATCATACCAAGTAATTATCCAAAACATGAAGCCATCATCAATTTTACATATATTGCCTCAAAATCATCCAAAGATCATATTCCTAATTTTACTTCATAGGGTTTCCCACAAGAAACCACAGACCACTCTAATTCATATCAAAACTCATCTAATTATGAAAGCAAATACATATTTACACTCTACATCACACAAGAAACACAACAGAATAATCAGAAGGCAAAACAGAAAACATTCATATTTTGCCTGTTTCTCATAGGGTTCTCTCAAGAACTCACAGAGCACTCTAATTCATATCAAAACATATCTATTTTCAAAATCAATCACATATTCATACATCACAGCCAACAAGGAACACAACAAAAGAATCAGAAAGCAAAATAAAAAACATTCATATTTTGCCTGTTCCTAGAA